CTCTGGCTGATCCAGACACACAAACCTCCACGTGCTCTCGTCCTTGTTAGTTTTTCCCCTGACACTCGTCCTCCTGCAGTTTGTGGTCGTTTTTTCCAAACAGACGCTCTCCTGTGGTTTGCTGGTCGTCCTCCGTTAGCGTTTCTTCACAGATCTGCAGGCGTCTCAGACTTTAACAGCAGAAAAACAAACTGTTTAACTGCAGCTCTCAGACTGTTGCTCCTGATGTGTCCTCAGAGACCCTGAAGATGAGATTTACTCCACACACTCTGCTGCCTCTCGTGTTTTTGTTCCAGTCCTGAGGAATTTCTCCCACATCCATTAGAAGCTTTCACTGCCTGCGTAGTGTTTCCACTTTCACAGTTTTTCCAAACTCAAGCAGCTGATGAAGCAAAGTCCTGCTGATGTTCTCCAGCAAATATCAGATTTAGCTTCAGTCTCTGTAGTCGGACCCTCCTCCACTGGATCAACGTATTTTATCTAAATGTGGAACTTAAAAGAATACGCTCAGCTCCTGTTGGCTGAAGTCCTGGCTCCACATTAACACCATCTGTGAAAAAAAAATACAAATTGGCGCCATTTATCAACCACAAACTGTAAACATAGAAAGAATCATCAGCTCTCCAGCCACCTAACACAACCGAAGCTTAGAATCAAGATATTTAATTAAAATCACTTTATTCTACGTGTCATGGTAAAAAAAATCACTTAACAGTTATTGGACGATACATTCAGCATCTGATGGTGGAACTTCTTTCTACATCTGATGGTGGAACATCTTTCTGGTGAGCAGAGCAGAGAGGAAACATCTGGAGACATGGAGATAGCTCAACATCTGCAGGACGAGGAGACCACATGAGCTCCAGAGTTTAACATGTGAAGAAACCTGGAAAAGTGTGAAAAACAATCTGAAACATCTGGTTCTGAGTCCTGCTGACAGCAGACATCTCTGGGTTCTGTCTCCTCCTTCATGTTCTGGTTCCTCAGAGCTGCAGGACTTGATGTTGCAGAGGAACATGAACCTCAGTGAAGGAACATGAGACAGAAACACCCAGAACCTGAGGATTAAATGACCTGTTCTGTTGTGTAATAACCATGTCATCTGCATAGAAACGTAGATTTGATTAAAGTCCTACTTCCTGCTTCGTTAACCTCTTTCCTGTTTGCGTTCCTGCAGCAGCTGGATGAAATGCGTCGTGACCTGCGCTGGATAACGGACGCGCTGCAGTACGCCCGCTACAAGCAGCCCCGCGGCGGCGTCCCGGTCACCTGCCTGGTGGACGCCAACGCCCCGGAGCCCGACCCCAGCCAGCAAAAGACCGACTCCACCTCGTCCACCATGGACTACCTGCCCACGCCGTCGCCGTCGCCGGAGCTGCGCCGCAGGAAAGGCATCAGCGGTGAGGCGGCGCTCCGCATTGACGCGTTTCAGGCCTTAAACTCAGTTATTAAGACTCTGCTTCCGTCTGACAGACTCTCTGCTCGGCTCCGACGAAGACGCCTCCTCGGAGGTTTTCCTGCCGACCGACAGCGACTACGACTCCAGCGACGCTCTGAGTCCCCGAGAGCTCGACCTGCTGTACTCGCCGGCCGCCGACCTTTCCCAGCAGGCCGTCCTGTCGCTGGGCGGCAGCGCCCCGGACGTGCTGCAGATCCACGAGCTCAGGTCAGTGAACGCACCATCAGAATGTGGCACAAAGCGGTCAACATGTGACACAAAACTATTTAAACATGACACAAAACGAACAAAATGTGACAAAACGACCCAAAAGACGGTCCATACTCCACCTGTCTTCCATGTACAGTCGATATTATTTTAGCATCAGAAAGCAGCAGCATCTGCTCTGAACCCAACACCGGCAGAAACACATGCAGTTGTCCAATAATAAGTCATGCAGTAATATTTATTAGCTCTGTTAAATGAACCGTCTGAACCACGTCAGCAGATTTTAATGAGAACGTTTTCAACAAGTGGTGAGTTTGTCACGTTTTTTCTGAGCAGAACGCGTTTTTAACGTCGATCCTGTCGTCTGTCGAGTTCATTCAATTTACAGAAGCCAAAATCTAGAATGAAAGGAATCCAAAAAAAAGAAAAATGCTTTTGTTTNTGGGTTTCATCCTGGACAGATCTGACACCAGAACCTCCTGGTTCACTCTGTTAAAGTCATCTTTGGTCTGAGCACCGCGGCCACCAGCAGCAGCAGCTAGCGCAGCCTGCTATGTGGGGCGTTCAGGGAACATCGTAGCTCTATGGATCAGAACATGTTCAGCAGGTCAGATGTTTTTCCTGTGACCAGGTGGGAAGTGAGACCAAATGAGAAAGTCGGTCGCACCGGTAAAAGGGTTTGGGTCAGACGTACGGCGGCTCTAACTGGACTCCTTGCTGATGGAAAAGCAAACAGGTTCTGAGGAGATGCCAGACTGGAACCAACTAAGCACTGGTTCCTTATGGTGGAAAAGGGTTCTGTGAGCTGGTTCTTCCTCATGGTTTCTGGCTTTAGTTGTGTTCTGTCTTGTTTTTAGCACTTCCTGTTGTATTTGAGCTGTTTGGTGTCCAGTTTCTCTTGTTTCTCGTCTCGCTGTTCTGTTGGAGCGTTTTGTCGTCTTCGGTCAGTTTGTCTCTTTGTTGTGTCTCGTTTTTGTTTTTCTCGTCTTCTGTTCTGTTTCTGTTCTGTCCCTCTGTTGTTTTCTGTCTAGTTTTTTGGAGGATTCTTTACAGACAGATTTCATTCAGACGGCCCAGGACCGGGCCGTGGACCAGGTGTTGGGAACCGTAGACCCTGCAGACTCACACCTTTACCTGCGTGTCACTAACCAGCCTCTCTTCCAGGACATCCTGGCCTACCAGCGTCGCAGCACCCACCGGCTGGCTCCGGGCCTCTACCTGGGCTACCTGAAGCTCAGCAGCTCCGTGGACCAGATCAGGGTTCTGGTGTCCCAGCGGACCCCCAACATGCTCTGCCACACCCGCATCCGGGACAACGCCAACGTGTCCAGGTGGGTCCACGCCTCGGCTCGGCACTGCTGAACAACCAGACGGGGTCTCGTTTGTGTCGTCTTGTGTCTGTTTTATCATCTTTGTTTCGTTTTTACTTGTTTTTGTCTTTTTTTTGTCGTGTTTGTTTCGTTCGTGTCGTTTTTTTTGTCTCCCTTTCGTTTCTTCATTTTTCATTTGTGCCACTTGACGTTGTGTTTTTGTCGTCTTTTCTCTCATTCGGGACGTTTTGTGTCTCGTTTTTGTTGCTTTGTCTCATTTTCTGTGGTTTTCTTGTGTTGCTTGTTCACTGGACTCAGTGTGTTATCCAGTAGCTGATCTGTTTAAAACTGACCCGCCTCAGCTCACAGTGGTTCTGTTGTGTACGAGCCCGGCAGCAGGCCGGTGTGTTGGTCCGTACAGAGTGAATCAGCTCATGGATCATGGTGTGTGTGTGTCCTGGTTACCTGAACGCTACCTGAGCAGACACTAGCAAAGCTTCACTTCCTGTGTAGTCGGACAGGAAAAGTCCAACAGTGAAGGAACAGAACCGAGTTCATGGCAGGTGAGCGGGAAAACAGTCACATGACTTAACCTGACCAATAGGAAGGGAGGGTGTTTGTGTACCTGGGAGGTGAGCGGGACAGGTGAGCTGAGGTGAGCGTTCAGTTTGACGAATGAAAACTGTTCCAGCCTCGGCGCGACTTTATTCAGGTTTAATCAGCGTCTTTGTTTTGGGTCCAGTCGGCTCCGGCATAGTTCTGCTGTTTGGCTCGGTCAGAGGAATGCCTGGACGCTGGACAGATTGGAAAGTGTGAAGTGAGAAACTAAAAGGTCTGACGGAGAGATTCTCTGCTGCAGAAACAGGAGACGAACAACGACAGACTGGAGGGTGAAAGAAACGAAATAAAAGCTGCTGCTGTTCCCCGCCGATGTTGTGGAAATGTTCCTTATTGGTTTGTTGTGGAGGCGACGCTTCACATCTTTTGTTTTATTCGACCTTTATGTTGTACAGACTTGGTCCTCGGCTCCTCCGTGCATCAGCTGAGTTTCCTGATTAAACCTTCAAACACGTTTTATCTTCTAAAGTTCTCCAAACTGTGAAAACAGAAGGAAATACTGGATTTAGAGCTTTCCTACAGTCCTCGAACTGCTCATCTGTGACTTGATGCTTAGTCGTGAAGCTTCAATGAATCGAAGCTTAAAATCTTAATATTTCATCAAAACCACTTTTTTTTTTT